ATCGGAGAGAGAAAAAAAAAAAAAATAAAATTCGTGGGTTGAGATAAAGACCCACGATAATAGGACAGAAAAGGTAGGGAAAATAATAATAATGATAAAAGAATATACAAAATAAGCGATGCACAATGCAGTTGCTCACCACCTGCCGACCGATGCCCAGCCAGTTCCCGTGAGCAGCGGGCCGTGCCCGGGCCAACTCCCCCCAGTTTCTACACTGAGCATGACGTCGTATGGTATGGAATATCCCTTTGGCCGGTTTGGGTCAGCTGTCCTGGCTGTGCCCCCTCCCAGCTTCTCGCTGGCAGGGCGTGAGAAGCTGAAAAGTCCTTGGCTAGTGTAAGCACTGCTCAGCAACAGATAAAACATCGGTGCGTTATCAACATTGTTCTCATCCTAAATCCAAAACACAGCACTGTACCAGCAACTAGGAAGGAAATTAACTCTGTCCCTGCCGAAACCAGGACAGTGAAGTAAACAGCTTTGACAGGTAGAAACCAATAAAGTCTAGGTAATACCTGCAGAAAAGAACTGGGGAAAAACAAATCCCTAGTCTAAATTGGATTAATATGCAAATCCACTGATTAGCACTCTCTCACCCCTCCAGGTAATACAAAGGCATGCAATAAGATGCTGTGCTTTTTAAGGCAGAGCTTTATCCTGTGCCATCCTTTTTGATTTACAACCATTTATTCACTATATATCTTCAGTATAATAAAGATACAGACTACTTCTGCACCTTCATGTTTTGTGACGGTTTTGTGTAGCCCTATGGAATTTCTTTAAATAGTCTCTCAGGATAGTGTGCAATGTATGTTATTTTCTGGGATCTGGAAAAGATGGGTGAAGTTTGAGGGGTTTTATTTCTATATATATACATATATAAACACACAAAATGTGAAGGAACTCAAATTGTCAAGAAGTTTGGGGAAATGTCACTGTTCCATATGAGACAGTTTTGCCAGGCAAAGTAGGAACAAAAACGTGATGAAGGGAAGTCTCAAAACTTGAATTTCACTTCTGTCATATTGTGAAAGTTAAGGTCCTTTTTCAAAAGCAGAACTGTTAGCAATCTATTTGTAGAGATTAAAATAACGTAAACCATTGTAAAGGTACAAGTTCTACTTTCTAATCTGGCTACTCCATCAGGATATGGAGAACAGCTTCTTTATGAATGTGAACGATCAAGTGAGAGAGGTGTGCAGCCAACTCGCAAAGGACCCTCACCTGAAAGGAGGCTACAATGCAATGGGCTTCTCCCAGGGAGGCCAGTTCCTGTAAGTTTACGCTTCTGTTCCATTTCCAGTGAATTCTGTTGCGGTTTAGGTTCTGATTTAAAACTCTTTTGAAGTACTAAGCAGATGTAAACTGACAAACCCCTTTGTAAAGGTAGGAGCTCTCCACAGGCAAGAATGTGTTTGCCTGTAGCCCAACTCTACCAGGAAGGGTTAACTCTCTTTGCAAACGTTACGCAGGTGCCCCAGCCCACACAGTGGCAAGCTGAGAGCTGCATGTGGACCAGCATTGGTGGCCTGGGCACGCTGAGTGCCAGCTCAGCTCCTTCGTCTTTCTCCACAGGAGGGCGGTGGCCCAGAGGTGTCCTTCTCCTCCCATGCTCAATTTGATCTCTGTTGGGGGGCAACACCAAGGTAGTGTCCTCTTAAGTTACCGTACCTCCTAACCACTGTGAAGGGTGGGGGGCTCTTGTTGGCAGGAGGAATGATTTTTCTGGCCTCTTCCTAAAAACTGACTGTTTTCTTGTGAATTAAACTGTCCCTTTGTTCCTGTCTGAATCTGGGGATCTTCTTTGGCCCAGTTGTTAGCCGAGTACATTATCTTCTGTCTTGGTCTTGCTTAACTGGCAATGAGAAGGGACCTTTGTAAGTAGACGACTTGCTGTCTGGGTAGAACTCATATACTTTGGAAGCACTTGGGATTAGTTGTTTCGGGAGAAGAAATTTCTAACTACAGAGCAAAGCCCTTGTGAAACCA